CACATCCACTTCCATGAGTCTTTGTAGAATTATATGAAAAACTGACATTATTCTCTCCTGCCAGGTCACTTGGAAGACAAATTCAGTTAATATGTGCAAAACAAGGTAATCACTTGGCACATAAATATATTTAAATTCTAAGCACCACCCCTGTGTGGTTGCATATTTTGATTTATTTGAACTGTTTGCTCATGAATCTGTTGCCCAGAAGTGAACAAAATATTCCAATTTGCAATGATGGCCTTTTCTTCTCCTCCCTAGCTGCTGTGAGATTTCCAATGGACAGATTTTGGAAATTTCACATAGTAACTTGCCCAGCTTTGACATTTCCCTGTATGTTCTGTGCACCCAAAGAAAACATGCTGTATTCCAGTTTGGTTATTGCAGGTCAGAAATTCTCAGGAACTTGATGATTAAGTCCTGACAAGCTCGAGTGATTATCACAGTCCATGGGGAAAGCTATTTGTTTTTCCAAGAGTGAAAGAAAGAAAGAAAGAAAGAAAGAAAGAAAGAAAGAAAGAAGCAAGCTCAGGTCATTCTTTCTCATTTCAATTTAATCTCCGCTGAAGCGTGTTCTATTTTCGAGGACTTCTACTTTTTTTTTTTTTTTTTTTTTTTTACTTGAACTCATTATAGGAAGTTTTAAAAAAGTATTTTGTGTGTATTAGTGATTGAATCAAGGCCCTTTGCAAGAAACTACATTCTCAGTCCTTCTGATTTTCTTTTTTTTTTTATAAGTTTCTTGCTATTTGCTAACTTGTTCAGTTGGGCTCAAACTTTGGATCCTCTAACCTGAGTCCCCCCCACCCCCCCGAATATCTGTGTATCCTTAATGTCAGTATCAGAGGCAGGGTGTGGTCCTCATTAGACCATGGCCTTCAGAGTAAAATGCCTCAGAATTGTGGCTCTGCTGTTAGTGAGTGGTGGCCTTTTTTGTTTTCCCTAACTTTTCTCTGTTTGATTTCTGCAACTGGAAAGGGAGACTCATCTTACCTTCCCTGAGATGTTTTGCAAGGTTAAATAAAATCATAAAGTTCCACCTTGCTATTTTGTATAAATAATTACCTGAACAAATGGTCCCTGGCATTGTGCATATATGTCCCTGGCATTTTAATTAAGTTGATGCCCACAACATCTCTTGTATGTTCCAAATGAAAGGTTCTCAAGGCTCTTTGGGGCTTTCAAAATTTTCTAATAAAAATTTTCAACATTTGTTTCCAAGAAAGTGTAGGATGGCCTGCTGGCACTTGGCAGTCTCATCCATAATTAGCATCATTAGGAAACACGGCTATAGGTATATTTTTTTAATTTGTTGTCTTCTGTTTTAACTAAAGAGATTTTACTGTCTCCATCAAATCCAGGTTTTGTGAAGAAATAAAATTTTATGTCATGTATTTTACACCTTGGGCTGTACTTATTTCCTAGCCTACCTGGTTTTGAAATGGCTCCTCTGAAATATATTAAACACCTGGAAAGCCCCATTGAACTGTCCCTCGGTTATTACATGCACTGTGAAGTGAGTCCATCAGCGGGAACCATTTCCTATCGCCGTGAGTTCTGGAAGAATTATTCTGTTCTTTTAAGAACAATGCGTTTTATTGAACTGTTTTCTTAAAAGTAGATTCCATTGGATGTTTAGGATATTTAGTGATTTCTAAAAATCCTGACTGGGTTTTTGTTCTCTGGCTCATTTCTCAGTGTGTCTCTGGAAATCACAGAAACCATGGCTCCTTGACAATGTAGAGCTTCTGGGGGCTGCGTCACCCTGAATTCTGTGACTGCCCTGCTGTTTCCTTGGCTGAGGAAGAAGAAAGGTTCTGCATTGCTGTTGCAATTGGTGGCTTCCTAAGCCTTCAGTTCACTGTAATAAAATAGATTTTACCAAAAGGAAGATCCAGAGACATCAACTCTCCCTGGGCCTTTCTGAATTTCACTGTTCTCCTTTTCAGAACAAGATGTGTTCTGATATCTGAGCTTTTCTCAGCCCAAATGCATGGAAGGCCAGCAAAGAGGGAATTATCGTGACTCCTGCTCTGTCATTTGTTAACTGTGTGAACTTTGCTCTAGGTACTGTCCCACCAAAAGTAATAGCAAAACATAAAGCTCACGCCACCAGGCATCGTGGCACACGCCTGTAATCCCAGGACTCAGGGGGCTGAGGCAGGAGTATCGCTTCCAGTTTGAGGCCAGCCTGGGCTACATAGTGAGTTCAGGGCCAGCCTGAACTGCATAGTGAGACCCCATCTCAAAAAGATAAGAAAAGAAAAGAAAAAGAAAAAAAAAAAAGAGCAAAGCAAAGCAAAACAAAACAAAGCAACGAAAAGGAACAGGGAAAGGAAAAGGAGAGGAAAAAAAAGGAAAAAGAAAAGACCAAAAACAAAACCCTAAGCCTCAATGTGATGGTATTGTGGTGTAGAATTTTGGTGGGGGTTTCCTGATGGAATGAATACTTTGCATCAGAGCCCCCAGAGAGCTACCTCGCCCTTTTGGCTATGGAAGAACACAGTGAAAAAGACAGCGGCCTGGCAACCAAGAAGCAAGTCCTCTCCAGCCACTACATCTGCTGGTTCTTTGAACTTGGCAACCAGAACTGCAAGACATAAGCGTTTGTGGCTTAAGCTGTTCAGTCTGTGGTATCTTATTCCAGCAGCCTGAATAGAGTAAGATGCCTCAGTACCTCAGTTTCCTCGTCTGTAAAATAAGAACAGTAGTAACTTGCAATAGTATACTTTGGACCAGCTGGAGTGTAACATCTAAAGTGCCTGCCCATGGCAACTGTAACTACGAGGCCTCAGTGCTTCACCAGCAGTGCTTCACCAGTGCTTCTGTCTTAGGGCTGCTGTGATTCTCATGCTGAGCTTTATAACTGACCTTTGGGGTCAGGCTGCTGGGCTCCTGCTAAGCCTTATAACTTCTTAGGGATTCAGAAATTAGTTCCCACTAAACCCTTTTCTCATCCGCAAACTGTTTAAGAAAATCCCTGGTTATGTATCAGAACATGCTCAAAACTGAGACCATAAAAGTTCTGAAACTGTGTATTGGTCCTGCTCACTTATGAATACTGTCATTGCTTCCCCCAACTCGATGCCAGCTCTTTCTTTCCACAGCAGTCAGATTTCAGGTCACTCATTAAGGCTCCTTTTGTTTTGGTTTCAACTTTTGTTTCTTATAGATCATTGCTCTGAGAAGCAAAGCATCACTTTTTTAGAGAGCAGAAAGTGGTTTCTTTAAACAAAGGCTCAAGCAGGCATGAGGTCACACACTGATAATCCCCAGGCATCTAGAAGGCTGATACCGGAAGACAGCAAGTTCCAGTGCGGCCTGGAATAGTTAATCATTTAGTGAAGACCCTGTCTCAAAATAAGACAACTGAGAAGGGTTAGAGATGTAGCCCAGTGAGAAAGCCCTGAGTTCAATCCCCAGTACTGGAAAATAAAAGGATTATGGTATCACTAATTTTGTTTTTACTGCTTCCCATAGAAAGTCAAAATTACATTTAAGAGCTCTACCTACATTTAAAGGTTAAAAAAGTGAAATTCTGCTAAGTAAGTATTCATAACATACAATTTACTAAATAGATCACTTTACAAGTAAATATACACAGAAGAAAACTTCATTGGACAGGTATAGAATCAAAACAAGTTATAAAACCCATTATCCAGTAAACACACTGACTCATTAACACATTAATCATCCTTTCCTACTTTGAAAATGAATTCATGACTGAATGGCCTATTAGACTAATCTTCTCTCATTGAAGACCATTAATGTAGGGACATGGACCGTGGAGGGAAAGGTAGACAGCTATTACTTATTATTTTTTTTCTTTTTAACTGCCCTAAGGATAGGATTGATCTTCAGTCTTCACTGAAGTCTTCCTTGTAAATTGCACAATAGGGAAGAACATAACTGTTTTGTTTTTGTTTGGTTGCCATTTTGTTGTTGTTGTTGCTGTGTCTTAAACACTTAGCAAATGTCCATAAAGCCGTTTGATTTTCTTAAGAATCTCAGTGAAGGTTGCCATCGCGAACTCATTTTACAGACGCAGGTCCCCGGATGTGTCCTATTAGGAGGCTCATGGGCTGGAGCGGTGTGCTTGGCTGAACTTCGCTGACCTCGGAGCAGGACATGGTCCAAGGACCTCCTTCAGAGGTCTGTTTTCTTCGTCTACACCCTGCCAAACAACAGTGTTCACCTGGGCGAGAGCCCAGCCAATGGATGCTAGCCACACCCTGAAAGCAAGCTCCACAGGCCTCTGCAAGCACACCTGCTGCCCGGACCTGCTACCTGTGGTGGCAGCAGTCTGACTGTCCTCCCTTCACCAGGAGCAAGAGCAGTGTAGACAGCCCGGAGCAAAACTCTCATGGGAACGTGGCTTTGTTATGCTGGAATCCCACCAAGTTACAGTTAAGGGAACCTAGAGACCTTTTTCCTGAGTGCTGGCTAAAATCACTCACGTTCACTTTCTCAAAGAGAAACAGAGGCACGTGGAAGGAAAGCAAAAGGGACGTGGGTCAGGGCAACTCGGAGCTGGGTGTTTCAAATAGTCTCTCCTCTCATCTACCCGGAGGGAGAAGACCATGGTTTATTACAGTGCCCCTAAGCCTGGACCAAATCTAGCATTTGTGATTGGTTCCTTGTCTAGTGCTCGGATTGGTGGTGCTACACCCACCTAGGGGTGGAGCCAGGGCGTGATGCAATGGCAGGAAGAAGTTCTCTCTCTCTCTCCCTCCCTCTCGCTGTCTCTGTCTGTCTCTGTCTCTTTCTGGTTTGTACCTTGCTGTTTGCAGCAACCAGGAACGGCTGCCCCACCATACCACCTTGCCTTGGAGCACACTGAGTATGGACTGAAACCTCTAAGAACTGTAAGAAATAAAGCTTTCCTTCCCTAACTTTGGGCATCAGATATTTTGTCTCAGCGATGAGTAAAAAGTAACTAAGACAGAGACTTTCTCTTTGACGATCTTTACTAACCACTTTGACTATCTTGAGGAAAACAACAGCCGGTAATGATGAAATAAAATTTTATGAGTTGAGTTGTATCCTCCCACAATGAATGTCTTAAAGCCTTAATTGCCAACTCCTTAGACTGTGACCTTATTAAGAGATAGGGTCTTAGAAGACAAATCAAGTGAAGTTAATTGTTAAGGTAGCCCCTGACCCATATGGCTAGTGACCTTATAAAATGGACAATTAGACAGAAAGGCACATAGAGGAAAGATATTGTGCAGCTACAGGAAGGAGGACCCTGTGAGCAAGCCACAGGCAGAGGTCTGGAACCAATCCTTCCTTTGGTCCCCTGAGAAAGAACCAGTCTCTCTCAACCCTAGATCTAGGGCCAAGGCTTCAGACTGTAGAACTGTGAGGCAACCCATTTGTCTTACTTAATTTACTCAGTTTGCTGGGCTTTGTTACGGCCAGCCTAGAAAAACAACAAAGCAAGGCTCAGGGTCTGCCCTTACCTATCCTGAACTGGCTTCCTCGCTTCTGCTCCCAAAGCACCGGCCTTTTCCTCCTATCAGCACTGCCTTCTCCCTCCAAGTGTGAGCCTCTCCCAGGAGCACACTGGAGCAGGCTCTTCAGAAACACAGGGCAAAATAGATCTGACTTGCAAGAAGCAAGATGTTTCCAGAAACTCACTAAAGGTCTACTGAGCTTGCCTAGATCACACTTCTAATGAGGCACTGGCTGAATGAGAGTGTGATACGAGATCACACTCCATCCTAAAACATTGCCAAGAATGACTCTGGGAAAAGCCCTTAAGAAGGTTTACTGTGTTACTTTTCATTCGCTATTAGTTCCTGATTATTCATCAAACAGGATCAATATGTAAAGGAAGAGTTCAGGAATACGACATGATTTGAAGGAAGACTCACCAGACAGCCTTTCTAGTATCTTTGAGGCATTAGACAATGAGGCTCTCTTGGGTACATTCTGTCCTCTTCTTCTGTTCTCCAAGTGACTCCACCTAACTAACAGTGCAGAAGAGAACACAGCAACATATTTTAGACAATTCCTGCAACTTGAGTCTCAGGAAGTCACATTTTCTAGTAACTAGACTTTTGAGGATTAGTGAAACTCATAAATGTATTTTCTGGAATTTTTTTTCATAGCAGCAAATCTTATTTCCCAGTGTTTTAAGACAGGTCACTTGGGAAATTATTTTAATTTTCACTGTATCTTAATGAACCACCATTTAAACCATCCTAGTATATTAAAATGCAGTGGTACTCTAGAGGTAATTTTACCTTTCATTCAGATTTTACCTTGACTGGTGACTACTATCCCAGTTTCTTTTTGGTACCAACTGAGAGATCATATGTGTTCTAATGCACATTTGTAAATTAGTACAGTTTTGTCATTAAGAAAGGATACATTGTCACCATACAATTTATCCCATAAACACAGTACACAGCATATGCTACTTTATCTTTTCTTAAATCTTCTAGCACTGGTTGTCAACCGGCTCAGACCTGTGAATGAAAGAAAACACATGAGCACTATCCCACGGCCTAACAATTCCTTTGAACAGGCTTTAGTTTCTCATATCTCCTTGTGACTTAAAGGAATGTAGTGTACATATCTGCATATGTGTCTATACTTGTGTTTTGGTCTTTTTCTTGATTCCAAGACTGGTTGTAGTATGTAGTGAAGTCTTTGCTTAAAGACAGTCCTGGCATCAGATCTCTCTGTATTCATCTGCCCAGGCTGTTGTGACAAAGTACTACAAGCCAGGTGACTTAAATAATAGAATTGTATCATCTCGCTGGATTGGAAGCCAGAAGTCCAAGGTCACAGTGCCAACAGAGTTGGTTCCTTAAGAGGGCTGTGGGACAAAATCTATTTCCTGCCTGCTTTCAAACTTCTGGTGGGTCATTGGCCACCCTTGGTTGCCTCATCCCCTAGAACTATCACTCCAAACTCTGCCTTCACCTTCATATGTCTCCACACTTCCTCTTGTGACAAGGACACCATGTACCAATTGGATCAAGGCCTATCCTCGGGACTTCATTTGAACAGCTCCAAACACAGCCACATGCTGTGGTACTCAGGGTCAGGATTTTTTATTAGCTACTTTCTTGTCACTGGGACAAAATACCTGACTACTGAGGGAGGGGCGGTTTATTACGGCTCATGGTTTCAGTCGGTGATTGGCTGGCCCTGAGAAAGAAACAGTATTTCCGAGTGGCACAGACGGGGGGAAAGTGACCCTCAGTGCCAGAAAGCAGAAGAGAGGGGACACACAGGTGCCCTGCTAGATCAGCACTCCGTGACCCACCTCTAACCAGACCCTACCTCCTAACAGAAAGTCAGCTATGGAGTCCCCCATCCAGTCACCTTCCTACACATGAGACATTCGAGGGGACACACTTTAGATCTAAGCCATAACAGAGTTGGAAACAAAATTCCACCTGAAGCACCTGGCATGGCCAGGGACTGCCAGTAGAATGGGCACAGGACCTCCATTTAGTCTTGGTCACCTCCTCTGGAAGAAGAATCAAGCACTATGCATTTCTCAGGAGTTCTCTGAGAAGACTCAAAAGGGCTTCAGGGCCATCCAGGTGTGATTTATCTTTATCAGGCCGGCGAGGTGCCACGTGACAGTGAACACACACACACAGCAGCACAAGACAGCTGTCCAGTCATCTCTCTCTTAATCCATAATAAAGGAAAAGAACAGTTTTCAGTAAGAGCCTACCAAGTACTGGCATGACTGTAGGTAAACCTGTGGGAAGTGGAGGATTGCTCTGCTCTGTCTACCTGGTTATTCTACAGACCTCTATTTGCTCGTGCTGGGCACAATCATTTACCTTGACTGAAGTATTATAAGAGGAGGTGCGAACATGGAGGGGAGAGGAAAGGGAGGCCTGTGGAGTGAACCCTCATGACTGGGAATATCCAAAGCAAAGGTGGACATTGCTCCTCTCTGGAGCAAGCACAGGGTCCTGCAGGAGGCGATAACCTCCAGTCCCTGACCTGTGCAGGAAGGTGTCTGCCTAGCAGGAAAACATTCACCTGGGACGAGGAAACCCAAGCAGCGGTCTGCAGCCCACAGTCAACATCCAAAAGCCAATAAAATAAATAAATATAAATAAGAGTGCGAGGGCGGGTGCATGTTGGAGGCTGAGGTCATATGATTGTGACGGAACTAAATGCGCGGGACTTAGGCGATCCAGCCATGTCCTCAAAGCGAGCAGGAAAATGTCGAGGTCTCACTTCTGTCATGTTTCCTTCTCACAGGAGCATGAGAGGAAGCTATGATCTCCTGTCTGTGAGGTGAGGAAACACAGCCTGCGATTAGCCCTGTTTGCCGGCCTGTGTTTCCCAGGTCACCTACCCGCATGCACCATCCACCGGTGCCCCCTTTCGTGCTCACGCTGTGCATTACACTGATTTGAAGCACTTTATGAGCAATCCATATATCATACATAGTTCAGATACACATCACAAATATGTAATGATTATAAGTTAAAGTAATCACACAGCAATTCTACTCTCAGCTGTATCTCCAAGGGAAATGATAACATAAACCTGTATTCAAAGTGACATAGGAAAGTTCAGAGAATAGTACTTAAAATGGAACTTGCTCTAATACCCATCCTCAGATAAATGGGTAAAGGAAATGCAGTATATCTATGAAATGGAATGTTTTTAAACCCTAAACAGTAATAAAGTATTAAAAAATTAGATGAGTAAAATATTATGCTGGATAAAAGAAACCAATGTTGTATATTTTATATGAATCGCCCTGATTATGCAAATCTGTGGAACCAGGAAACAGATTAGGTAAGGGAGGTTGGGGAATGGGGGAATGAAGAATGATTATTTAATGGATACCAGGTGCTTTTATGGGTTGATGAGAAATTTAAACTGAAGAACTTGGTCACTGTTCAATAATAGGGACATAGTACATTCTGCTAAATTACTCACTTTAATACAGTAATCATCATCAGTGCATCACACGAAGCTGTGAGCATTTAACAGAGGCAATGGCCATATATTTGAAGGAAAGCAAGACTAACGTCTCCAGCTCACACAGCAGGATGACCAAGCTTCAAAGCCTTTATTATGGCTCTGCCCTGCTTTGTCTCACTCTGCAACAGAGCTTGCAAAAGAAATCTGCTGTTTTAAGTTTAGCAACCTGCCCGCAGTCACAGGGCTGTTCAATCACATCAAAAGCGGATGGCATGTCCAATCGGGGAAAAGAGAATCATCAGTCTAAGAATGGGACTCCTAACCCCAAACAGACACATGCACACACCCTCGGCATCGGCACCTGGGGCTTCTGGCAGGCTCGCAGTCTGAATGACTGTCTGTCTTCCCTGCCTCTGCCAGGAGCAGTCAAGCTGACTAGAGTTGGAAAGGAAAGTTTGAGACCTCTGAGTTTTGTATCTGGCAGCCAGAAAGTGTGAAGCAGAATCTCACGTGACACATGCTAGCAACCCCTTTAATTCCGAAGGATGCCAGTTGTCGGCATGAGGCTCCTGGTCCTGATCAGAGGTGAAATGCTACGTGATCAGCCCTTACCTTATGAGGTGCAGGCAATCAGGACTCTTCCCCAGGGACCTGTATACCCTGGCCATCACTTGCCACTGCCACTGACCTCTTTCTTTTCTTTAGCACTTACACAGACTCCTTTCTCTCATTTTAATGAAAATGGATCCGATAATGTCCTCTTTGACCTGTTGCATTTCTCTTCCTCAACTGTCCACATTTATTTCTTCACATCTTGCTTGCTCTTCACATCTTGATGATCCGGATCCCACTGTCAACGCCCTGAATGATTCTCATGCTGCAACCATCAACCTACAGCTCTTTGACTGAAAGTCAAGTCTTTGACTTGCCCACTATGCCCTTGGGTTTGAAACATTTCCTCTCCTTAGCATCTGTGATGCCCCAATGCTGGGCTTCACTCCTCCTTTGTTCCTCATTGGATATCAAACAGAGCAAAGTGGGAAGGACGTCTGCTTCTTTGGCACTACAGCTCAAGCCCTTAATGGTGCCTGCATCCAAAGAGATTCAAAGGACTCTGTGATACTCGGCCTGTTAGAGATGCTTAGAGATTCTATTCTCTGAAATGCTCCAAACTTTTCAAGATGCAGTGGGTTGCACAGCCCTGCAAATCCCTCTGGATAACATCCACACTTGCAAATGTTGGTTGAAAGTCTTCAAGTGCTCTATGAAAATTTGGTCTTCTCTGTGAATTCCCTGAGTAGGAGGGAAGTAAATTTCTTCATTTCTCAACATACCATAGCTAACAGCCAAACTTGAGAATCGGATTGACCTGGGTTTTAATTTGAGTTCTACCACGAATGGATGGTGACCTGAATCAACCTCAGCTTCCATTCTTTCAACTGCAAATTGGGAAGAATAACACCCACATAGTAAACACTGGCATAATACCTTCATGTCCTAATTAAGCTACATTAAATGAAATTACATGCAATCACTTTTGCTATAATGTGACATATGCATTTCTAAAAGATCATTGTATTGTGTAGAATCGTGCAATAGAAACATCAGTGTTTATAGTAAAAAAATAAGCTTTAGAGACCACAGAAATTTCATCACTGACATTTTTAACAAAATTGTAGCAAGTCAAGAAAGATTGTAACGCAGTCTCATCCATATTAAACCATAGAATAGTATGAGAAATATGGTCCTTGACTCTGAAAAGGCCTGAAATCTGCAGCTTGTGAGAGAGTAGAAGGAAGGTTACAAGAAATTGGATGAAATAGAGCAGATAGTACAAGTGCCTATGACTCATCAGCAAGGCTGAGGGCTTAGGCTGCCGCGTTTGCCTGCACTCTGTGTGTGTGTGTGTGTGTGTGTGTGTGTGCTCCTAAACACATGGCTTCTTGTGGTACACTCTTGTTTATCAGTGTTTCTGATGGGCAAAATCCTGCTATGCAATTAAATTTGCATTATTCTCAAATCATACCCAGATAGATCAGCCTTGTTGGAACACATTTGTGTCATAAAAGCAGGCATTGTGTGAGGCTTGGCTGTAAGAGCTAGCAGAGTCCCTGGCCAGCAGTAGATGTATAGTTATGGTTGCTTTCATTCTTTTGTATTTCCATCTCCTAAAGGCCCATCTTCCTGAGGGCAGGTTCTGGGTTGTGTCCACATTTGTGCTCCAAGTACTGGCAACCATTTTGTAAGCCCATCTGTAAGCATCATCTGGGTGTTAGGAGCAGGGCAGGGATGTGACCTCTGGGGAAGCAGCTGCTGAGACAGATGCTCAGACACAGGCATGGTCCTGCCACTTGGAGGCCTGCAGGTTAGCATGCACCCAAAAGACAACCAAACCGAATGCTGGACCCTGGACCTTCTGACCTTCTTGGACCTGGCCCATGTCAAAGTGGAAAGCGTTTCTCACACTGAGCAGTGAAAGGCTTGGAAGACAAAATATGACCATGCTACAGCAGTCCTGGATCAAATGAGAAGCCATCAAAAAGTGACAATGTCCTAAACCTGACAAGGGGAAGAGGAAAGATCAGCCTTGATCACCTGCTTCTGAAAGTGACTCCCATTCCATACCTTTTCCATTGTGTCACTATTTGCCATGTTCTGTGACAACATGAGTCAAATCTATCATCAGGCCATCATCACAGAGCAAATGTTGTGCTTGGCATTTTATCATCCATATTGTGCATTCCTCCAGACCATCACGGTGTAGAAGACCACAGCTGTTAGTTCACAGATGAGTGCAGTAGCTTCAGAGAGGAAGAGTGACTTGCTCAAAGGCATAGCAGAGCTGGGTGAGCCTGACTTCCAATCATCTTCCTCCTCATTCAGAACAAGGCAAAGGTAGTGCTGGTTGCCTGCTGTGCACGGGGGTGAAAGGAAGATAGATGAGTGAATAATAAACATCAATGCTGTCTGCTCTTGATGAAGGGCACTAACTCTATCAGGGTAGAGCATCATTCTGCTCTTTCCTTAATAGAAGCATAAATATGATCATTCCCTGCAATAAGCAATTTCCTTGGCTCTGGTGACACAATGGGAAATTAAATATGGGTGTCACAGGACTACTAGAGGAACAAATGGCATTACATAGCCCTCCTCCTCCTCTCCCTGCTGTGTTGCCATCTTTTTACAGTCTGACATGAAGCCCTGTATAGAATCAGGGTTCCAAACAGAGAAAATGTACATTGAAATGCTAGTGATATGGTGCTATAAGGTTGCTCATTCGCTGATGTGGTTTCCCTCTATTTAGAATAACATGCAATTTTTACCAAGAGTCTGTGCTTTAAATTTGTGACCTTCTGTATGGTTTTTCTTCCCTGAGTAGTTGTAAATTAGGCAGGTTAATTAATCTCTCTGTGCTCAAGAATTCTCCGTTATCTCCATCTATAAAATGTTGACATCATTATCATTTTATTGGTATTAATTACTTTCCTGTCTCTCAAAGAAAAAAATCCATCACTTCCAAGTAAAAGAAGAAAGATTTATTTTGGCTTAGGGTATCAGAGGATTTAGTCTGTGGTTGACTACTTTAAGGTAGAAAGAGCATGGAGGAATGGTGTGACAGAGGAAAGTTGCTCACACCATGGCAACTAGGAAGCCAAAGAGAGAGCGAGAGGAGCCAAATACAAGGATGTTCCCCACCTCCATCGTTCTCCTAGTGGCACACCTCTTAACAGCACATGAAGCCAGGAAATCCTCAGTGGATTAATCCACTGGTGAGTGTAAGGCTCTTATGACCCAATCATCTTCCTAAAGCCCTACATACGAACACATAACACTTTTAGGGGGCATTTCAGATCTAAAACATGTCAATAAGCATCATCACGAACCCACTCCTCTTTTGATTTATTTCATATGTTAGATGCCCATGTCCAGGAAAAACATAGAGTAGGAAAACCCTTTCCCTAGATGATGAGTTCTCTTTTCTTTCTGAGAGGTGCCCAGGACCTGTGCTCAGTCATGTGGAGGTCACAGATCGCATCAAACTTTGCCAGGCCCTCATGAGGTTCACAGCGAGCACAGGATTGTCACTTTCCTGGTTCCCTGGCCTAGATCTCAGAGAAGTGCTCACCTGCTGGATTCTGAAGAGCCCTTTCTAAGCTTTGACAATTTTGCAACCAGTGCAGAAAAGTTCTGGTGAAAATAGCATCTAAGTATGAAGAAAAATGCAATGACAGGACTGTCATCAAGTAATAAAAATATACAGTGCCTTTAGATTCTATTGCACAAACCCTCATTCATATGCATTGGAAGGAATCTTCACACATATAAAGACAAAGTATTTTATTTGTTCTAAAGACCAAGCATGGTGCATATACAAACTCAAGAACACTTGAAATCATCCTAGGCCTCCCATTCCCAAGGCCTAAGGTTTGATAATTATGCCACAAAACAAGTTTCAGAAGAATATCTACCTCCTTTGCCTCTTAATAAAAAGCCAGGTTGATATATTTTATTGTGCAATGAAACCCATAAAGAAAATAAAATGTCCAAATCCATGCAGTGCCACCAGAGAGAAGACAATAAATTTAGCACTTTGATAATACACATAGTGAGTTAATAGGGAATTTAGAATAGAGGGTGGGGCTCTTCCCCAAGTGTATTATTAACAGTCAATGCCATGGACAGGAAAGGGATAAATATAGAAATGAATGCAATTTGGCAAAATTACAAAAAAATATAACCAATTCTCTCTAAAGTGAATGCACGCTTTGCTCTGTTGAGGGAGGAGAAATGAGACAGTGAGAATGTATCTGCAGTAGATTCGCTAATCTTTGCTTTTTCCTCACAATATGCACATCAGTTAAAAACTAACATTCACAGGTCAGTTGATGCAGAAAGCACAACTTCTCGGGGATGGGAATACACAAATTATCTAGAGGTGCGTTTTTCGTTTTCACTCCTGACTGATGGTCAAACATTACAAGGGTGAAAGTGTCAGACAGAGCTCCTGTTGTTAAAGATTCCACAGTTCGGGTGGAAGCTTCTGCCCTATAGCAAAAGACCTCCAACAAACATTAGATCCAATGTGTTGATGGCACTGTTGTCACTTTAGTCCAAGCTAAATCTCTCTCTCTGGTGGATACAATAGCAGTTTCTGAGGTAGTCTCACCACTTCTCCAGACTCCACCACCATCACCCACCATCTGTTACTAAACAGCCAGGGGAAGCTTCTCACCTTTCTCATCAGGTCTTGCCACACAGGTGTAACCTCTCCAGGGGCTCCTTGTTACCCTTAAAATCATATACAGACTCCTGAACTGATCTGCAAAATACTCCCCCATCTCTCTTGGTGAGTAGGAACTCCATCTGCTTCATGCTCTGGTTTTCCTGTTGTGCCCCCCAGCATCCAGCTTTATGTTTTCTTCTAGTTACATGGATGTCGGTTTCAAGAGTATTTCTTAAACACTTGACCTCACCACTGTCTTTAGCATGTAGATATTAATGACGGGTCATCTGCTGCCGCATACTTTATTTTCTTTTCTCTCTAGAAATGTTCTCTATCTGAACGTATCCTCTTCATACATTTGTATAATTTGTATATTGTCCTTGGACATCCTGCTAAGACATGGATTCCACATGAACCAGGGTTTCCTCCAGTTTGGTTATACCATGTACTCAGTCCCTGGGACACAGGTAACATGCAGTAAACTTTCATTCAGAGAATGAATGAAATAACTTGTAGATCTACAAGGATCTGGAATGGTGTGAGGACATTTGGGAAACTTTTATACAAGGAAGAGAAGCTAGAATTCTGACAGAAAGGAATGGTTAATTATGTAAAAATGTGTGCTCAGATCCAAAAATGACATTTAACATTTATATTATTACATTTCTCACTTCTACTGTAGGAGGCAGACAGATGATGAGTGATGTCATGATTATGCACCACCAATAATAAAGTCAAATTGGAAGCACAGGGTTAGGGGATCCTGCCTCACTTGCAGGAGTGCTCAAATACCTCACCAAGCTGTTACATACCCTTCATCCTCTCCAGCCTGGCAACACATCTGAAAAATGTATATTCATCAAGGTAAGGGCCTAGGGGCCAGCAGCTTCAGACACATCCTATCGCTTTCCTTATTTGTCTTATGAAATTGAGAAGAAAATCAAACTTTGTGACTCATTTTCCTTTTCCGTGAATGAAGTGGTACTTAATTTCAGAGTGAAAGTATAATTTAACCCTTATAAAGTGCTTAACGTGGTACCCAAAACATGACAAATATACAACCCAAATGTGTTATATTGTGATAATTGCTTTATTAAAAGACTGAGCATTTGAATACACTCACTTAAATTCATATAGCATGAGCACACTGAACCCAGGATCAAGCTCAGATTTGGCCAATTATAAAAGCCAAATATTATAGCCATGCAATTGAACTGCTCTCCTGCAAGAGCCTCAGTCATGAGAGTCAGTTCCATGTGATAAAAGTGTGCAGTGCATACACTTATAGCATTCCTTGTTACTTTCGTGTGTTCATATTTGTTGTTCTCAATGAGGCAACCGACACCACCAGGAGGGAAGGACTGACCACTGAAACAGTAGGACTTACTAGTGGCTCCTTTACCACTGCTGTGAATTCATAGACATTCACCTAAATGTTATCTAAGAACATTACCTCCCTGATTCCAAAGGCTGGAAAAGTGAGTTTGCCAGCATCATTAGTGTCCCTGTGTCTTCTTATCAAGGTTTTTGTTTTAACAAAAAAGAGCTCAATAAATCATATAGGGTCCTGACGATGCCATCTGTACCGTTAGCTGGGCACATTGCAGAGACTGATTTCTGGAACAGCATCTCAGGGAGATGAACAGCTCAGTCCCTGCCTTGAGAACCCATGATACCATATATTAGTGAGTCTCATAATTGCTAGGCACCTTTGAGCATGTCCAGTGCAGAGATGGGACCCATCCCGAGGCAAAGGCTGTGCATTAGTAAACTGAGTCTTAGGAGAAGACTGTGAGGCCAGGTGGGAAGCTCTCCAGTACAGAGAAGAACAGAAGATGCTCACAGTGGGTATGAGACCAGACTGGGTATGGGCCAGGGTCGGCTTTCTGGAGAAGATAGTACTTGATCTGCATTTCATAGAATTAGTAGGATTGTACCATGAGATACAGGTGGAAAGACCATTCTGTGGGTGGAGGTGGGGGTCATTTGAACAAAAGAATGGCAGTAACATGCACAAAGAAGGGGATAGGGAGGAGCATAGTCTGATTGGTGACCTGAGTATGAACATAAGACATCAGGTCATGATGAGTTTTTCATCATATTCCTTCCGGTCTGTGTGTGGGAAGCAGGCACAATCCATGCCTAAAGGGGAGGTCAATTAGAAGCAGTGGTAACAGATGTGTATTCATGATTTGCTCTGTGCCAAAACCTGTGCTAAGTCCTTTACAAGGACTAGGCCAGCTTACAAACACGCAGAATCACTGGCAGAATACAGTCTCCCACAGGTGTCCATGTTCAAACCACCCAGACTTATGCACATGTTACCCTGCGTGAGAAGGACTGTGCAGATGTGGTTAAGATCTTGAGATGGGAAGACTTTCTGAACTGTGGTAGGACCGCCCCCCCCCCCGCCATGTAATTACAAAGGTCCTTATAAGAGAGGCAGGAGGGTCATAGGAGAACCAGCAGAGGGGATCTGGAATTGGACAGACAGGTGGTCACCAGCCAAGGGCACTGACAAGGCTTTAGCAACTGGCAAAGTCTGAGAAGTCATTTGCCCCTGAAGCTTCCAGAAAGAATGAACTCTGTCAACCCATTTTACATGTCTAACTCTGGAAAATTGTTATGGCAGCAATAAGAAAATAACACATGGTCTAGGTACAATAAAATTATCTTCATTTTAGCAATGAAGAAGCTAAATCTCAGAGGGGTTTGCCTGTCAAAGATCAAAGATGGCAGATATAGTGTCAGACTGAACTGTGTAATTTTCCTCTCTATTTCAGCTAAATCTGCACAAACCCAAGATGCCTTTGGTGCAATTGAAAGTAGATTCCTGTCAATTTCTCCCACTCCCCACTCCTGGCACCCTTGATGCAGCAGTCACTCCAAGCAATATGTCACCCTTCACAAAATCCACAAGAACAGAGGGTCTTTTACTCCTGCCAAAAACCCTAAAGAAGGAGAGGAAAGTACAGGTTATTACCATCGCAATGAGATTAGAGAATCTGTGTTTCAAAAATCAGATTGAGTGATAAAAAGTACAATGTTCATAAATATTTAACCTCATCAACATGGCAGTAATTAGAGAGCCGAGCAGGGTGCCCTGCTAGCTGTGGGCTGACCTGGAACCTGAGAGGGAAGATTTCCATGAGAAATAAATGACGGGAGTCCAAAAAGATGAGATACTGCACCTGGCACCAACATTTTACCTGAAATGCCCCTAAAATGACGCTTTTTGAATTGTTGAATTCACAGTAAGTCTGCCATCTATTTTAAGCCCATAATAGCCTGGGAAGTTATATATAGTCATCTCACACAGACACCACTTCCTTTCTATGATGCATCATGTGTATCACTCGCAGTGAATCAGGGTCATCCAGCTTCTGTCTTCCTTTGCCTCCATGAGTGCCCACCATGTGGAAATGCCTGTCAGCATTGACTGTTCCACCATTTTGGGCAAGTGGCTCAAAAGTGGTTCATTTTGCTTCAGTTCCAAAGTCACAAGTATAAAACAGGGTGTGAGGACTCCACCCATGCTCTCTGGGGCCTTCTCTCTTGCTTTTCCAAGTATCCCAGTTGGGAACTCACCTGGACAAGTGTTTTAGAAGATAAAAGGCATGTAGCCCGGTCGCCTGGTCCCCCAGATGGCAGCAAGCTGACCACCGCTCATGAAGTTTGCTCATGTGACACAGGCCAGTCACAGAGAACCACCAGCTTTCTGGGCCCTGACTCCTGTTGCAAATGTGAGACCAACCTAGACTCGCAGAATCTGCCCAACACTAGTGGTTCAGCCAAAATCACCAGCCTGCAGACGGAAGAATTTAAAAATGAAAAACAAAACAGAAAACTCTATCAAGTCAGTTGGTTTAGGCTGGCTTGGGATGAGCCAAGCAGGACTGACATACTTGCCCATCTGCACTGAACATGCTCTTGTGTTCTTGCTATGAAAAGTAAGAAAATAAATCACAGAACTGAAAGGAAACAAACCCTCACGTCAGGGGTGGGGTGGGGTGGGGAACGTCTCCGTAGGAAGAAGTTCACCGTCAAAGAGCATGTATCTGGCGAGTACTTGCTGCCTGTCTTGCACATCCTGCCTGTCCACATCCTCCTTCATCCCTGGCTTCCTTCTCCTGGCTGGATTTACTGAAAGGCTGTCTACTCCTGCTGTTACCGCTTTCTATCCTGATCTCTGCGCACTCTAGCCTGGTTTCTGTTTCCATCACATCATTTTTCACGTTGAGGCATTTGCTAAGACTTTATTTGGTGACAAGAAACGGAAGCCCAACTTCAGTAAGCTCACAGACTAACAAAGAAGGATCTGATTAGGATACACAGTATCTCAGAGGACCCAAGAACGGAATGCAGCAATCCCGTAGACATCACTGGAATCAAGTCTTGCTCTCTGGTGTCTTGCCTTTGCGTATTTCCCATATCACTGTTTCATTCTGTCACTTTCTACACACTGAATGTCTCTATTTCTTAAACTGCAAAACAAAAAAAAAATGACATCAGCCCATAATTTCTTTTTTTTTTTTTTTTGTCTTTTTCCTTTTTATCTGTACTGGGGATGGAACTCCCGACTGCCTGCTTGCAAGGCAGACGCTTATGCAGCTGAGCTAAATCCCCAGCCCCAGCCCATAATTTCTTATAAGCTCCTCCTCAGTTTATGTGACTTCCGTGCAAGAGACTGGCCAGATCTCAATGTCAGCCCTGGGTCACACATTCCTTGAGGAGCTCCTCACTTGGCTGTTGGCCAGGAGATAGAGTTGTAAGGGCAATTAAAGGACAGGTCTCAGGAAGTCAGAAGATCCAATACTTGTGATAGAGACCAGAAAAGCAAAGCAATCTCACCGTAGTGCTCAGCTGCACCCACTCCCCATACAAACTTCCACAACTTAACTGGCCATATCATAGGTCAAAATGGCACCCCTGAGTTGCAACATACAATTTACATGATTTACATGATTATATGTTGACTGTGTATTCCATAGCTTGTATTTGCGTGAAGGCAAAGATGAGTTCACTGCTTGACTCGTGTCTGACCCACAGTAAAACGTAGTGAATGTCAACAGTGATTCAGTGAAGAGAATCTTAAGGTTTGGAATGGACAAATAAAGTCATGGGTCACTATGTTCTGACTCTACTGCAAATTGTTTTTATTGTGCAGTGAAGACAAGAATGTGATATCAACATGTTAGATAAAAATTTGCCTATGTTCATACTATAACCAAGGAAAAGCCTTACCTTCTCAACCTCCAGAATTTTACTGAAGAACTTGTGCTTCTAATTATGTTGTTTTGTGGACAGTCAGAGATACAGTGATGGAGGAAATGCAGAATGATAATCCTTACCAGGAACATGAGAAAAACGATTGATTTGGTGAATGGTGGTCATTGATCCAGAGAACGTCATTGATCCAGCTTCCTGTGCGATGAACGTAACCAGGTTCTTGACAGAATGAACACAGCTCATGGGGACAAACTTTCCCAGTTGCCTGCTTGACCACAGAGCTAGACACACACAGTCAGCCCAGGCCTGCACTCAGAATGCCCAATGGAGGAATTTCTTTTGTGCAAACACCTTCAGAGTATGGCGCTAGTGTCTTTGTCTTTTACTATGGAAATTTTCCCCTTTTCTGAGTCATTTTATAACCACATCCCCTGTGAAAGAAAACTTGGAAAGGAAGCTAGATGAGAGGAACTGGCAAGATCCTTTGGAAAAGCATGCTGCTTGCATTTTCTGCACTTGACTAACTTCTAAACATTTCCAGTCCACAGTTCCATATCACAAATAGACACCTGGAGTCTTAAATCTGCAGTAAGAAGCAGTGTTTCCCCCTTAATATTCATTATATTCCTGATATTCAGTTCTCTGATAGTAATTTAAAGAATACCATAAATAACTCTGTACACAATGTGATGATTTGATAAAGTACCTTTAGGCATCAGTTTGGATACACATATTCCAAACCACAAATCATCAGCTAGTAATTCAGCCAATGAATTCATTAAAATACAACAAGAATTACAAACTCCCTAGTTGAGAGTAATTCAGTGTCATTGCACTTACTTCTTGTGACAGTTCGTGACAGCAGATACTGATACTGGAACTTGCAGGGAATGCAGAGTGGCCGCTTGGGCACAAAGTGTGAGGCCTTGAGCTAACTTCTAGCTTTACTGTCCATAGGTTGTGAGACTTTAGAAAAGCTATTAGACCTCCAGATACTTCAATGTCCCTGCTTACATTATGGAGATGTAAATAAACTTAAATCGATGGTTAAAGGAGATCACATCATAGGTGAGGTCTTCCTAGTGTGTATTTTAACCATCACTGAACCAATTCACTTACTTGTATAACATTTTTTTTACAAATTACACAATTCCTACTTAGAATAGAAAAAAGAAGGATGCACTGTGAAAACAAGTTTATCAGAACTAAAAAAAAATTAAAAAGTTAAAGTACAGGAAAATTTCTATTCAGATACTCATACACCATCATATATACACCATCATTCATATGCTGTCTCTTCAGGATGAAGAGAATATCTTATGGTCTAGATGGAGCAGAAGTAACCGCTACCAAGACATCCTCAACTCAAGATAATAACCTGCTTATATCTGATATTAATTTAATTCCCAAAAGACAGCTAAATTTTCTTTTGAGCATGGTTTGTGCCCGAAACTTGTATCAAGCACCTGCAGCCAGAAGGCGGGATGGAGTTACAAGAATGAGCATCTCCCAGAATCACCATAGTGACTGAGGAGAGAGGAAAAGTGAGTTTCCAAAGAAGGACAGAGGAAAGTTTAATCCCAGCACCTGGGAGTACTGTGTAAAGAAAAGAATCTTTTTGTCATTGACGAATCTTTATAGCTGAAGCTAAGAAACGATTTACAATCTTGTTTTACCTGACATCTCAACAATAATCGCTAGTCTATGAAAACTCCTTGACCTACCTTTTTACTGTGAAGGTGTAACTTCTCTTTCTAGCTGCTTTGTTCTAGTTTGGAAAGGATGCATTCAATGTCTGGAATCTCTCCTCTTTTATCCCTTTGATGAAGGTAGAGCTTCTCAATGATTTTTTTCCTGGCTACCCTTCCACCCCACTTTATATCCTCTCAGGTTCTCTACTTTTGTTTTCCACAAATCTCTGAAGACAGGCATGGCCAGTGCAGAACCCAGGGCTTTCCTTCTGAATTCACACCTGGCCTGCCATTCTCCTGCTACTGATGTGTTCTTGTAGGAACAGAAAGGCTGGAACACAGCTGCTTCATGAGTGGCTCTGTTCTGTTCTGAGCTGTGCTCATAGTAATTTCAAAAAGATAAAAGAGAATTCCTGAAACTCACAGAAATAACTTTATGGAAATGATGCTACAAAGTGTCAAAGAGTTAGTTCATCTAAGATCTTAAAATATGTTTGTTTCTTCCAAGCTGAGGTGCTGGCTGTTGAGTGTACATGAATATAAGAGATGTGAGATCTGGTTACTAACCTGTAGTCTGCAGGTTTGTGTGACAGTTCTTACTGGAATAAATATTGGGCTGGGACATTCAGAAGTGCTAAGAGATGAGTCATACAGCTGGTAAAATGGTAGAACTGAGATTTGAAGAACTGTCCACTCAGCTCTAAGGTAGAATGAGTGAGTGTCAGAGGAGAAACGGACAGAAACGTCCAAGCCATACCGTGACGTTTTCCTAGACCTTGTGCCCAGCAGAGGGGAAGGTCCTGGACAGGCACTCAGAGCCTGGGGGCTTAGTGAGCAAGAAGCCAGTGGACTTTATAAGTACCTGAATCCACCTAGTGACCCAGCAGCCCTGTGAACATGGACACAGAGGCCCCATGAGCAGCTAATGGCCTGGAATGAGAAAGGAAAGCTGGCGTGTGCCCCTTTTTCGGGATTAAAATTTTGATTTGTGGAAAACATTTTTGCACAGGAAACCCCCGCATGTTAACAAAATGTGGTTAGAAAAAACATCATATCTGCCTACAGGACAGCAAATGAATTTCTAGCAGGAGAGATAAAAATCTGAACTTACCTAACACTGTTTGCTTCCCAGGAGCACAGGATCATGTGGCGTACTGGAAATCATCTAATTCAACCCTCTTCATTTCGTGTTTCATCGAATTAATTCAGAAGTTATGGAGGAGTCTGAAAAGAGGGGACAGCTGTTTCCAAGGGGACAGAACCAACCCAAGATATCACCTGGCAGTTATTACCCTCCCATCAGCAGGTCAACACAACTGACGCATTTCTGTTACACCCTGTCATGGGTCTAACAAAAATCCATTTGAAAATAGTGATCGACTCTGCTTCACAGATTTTCCCATACATAATAGCAATGAATGCGTACCCATCCCATAAACTTAGAAAGGGGGAATCACAGGGTGACTGTGATGACACTGACAAGGCAGGGCCACTGACCGTAGTGCCATCATGCAAAGGCAGGCACTACTATTTTTAGAATGTTTCCTGCCTCAAAGGTACAGGTGAGAGTGTGGACACCGATTTGATGCAGGTAAGTTTCAAATCCCAGGTCCCTATCTAGGTGCTCTCTGATCTCAAGTTCTGATGTCTTTGAAGCCATCAGTTCCCTCATTAGAGAGATCAGTGTGTTAATAGGGCCTGTCTGCTGGAGTGGTGACAATTAAATCACAATTCTTCAGTTCAGTATGAGGTTTGCAAGCAGAATCCTTCGTTACCTTAATATAAACTTTATCCTCTGAGCTTGGAATATACACATTAGTATTTATAATGTAAAATGATATACTTTAGTTAAACTTGTATAATAATATAGGAAATCAGTTATGATGCTGTGAGTTGTCATTTTGTGACAAATTTTCATTCATATTCAGATATCCTTTTTATGACTAAAAATAAGAGCATATGTGTAATCAAACCTCTTTGTTGACATTTAAGCATTTTTAGTTTTTTACAATTATAAATAATGTTTTGATGCATATATTTACATGTACTCTCTTTTTAAGGATATATTTCAGGAATAAAACTATTGAATTAAATACATGGATATTTATAAAGCCCATGATACATATTTCTGGATTGCTTCTCCAAGAGGGTGCAATAATTTATATATAAAACTAGCAATGCATGAGATTTTGTCATCTTTTAATATACTTGGAAGCATTCTGCACTGACTTTTCAAAAAATTTTTCAAATTTGATATTTAAGAGATGAGACTGCATTGTGATGATTTTAATTTTGCATGGCTGATGAGTTGGGAGCTTGGACATTTTCCATTGATTTATAAACAAACACATTTACACTATGGAAGAGTTGTTCTCTGCTCATTTATATGTGGATATCTGAGTTTCATTTTTATTAATATGTTCGAGTTGTCTATTTATTATTGATAACAATTCTCTCTCATATTAGCTGCAAATTTGGTTTCTCAGTAAGGAGTTTTCACAGTCTACATAGAATCTCTATAGACAGCTCACCTTGTAACAAGAGGAAAATTCAGTGAGAGAGCAGCAAGATGAAAATCTTCAACCAGGAACAGTAGTACAAGTCTATAACCCCTGCACTCCAGAAGGCTGAGGCAGTAAGAACTCAGGTTTGAGACTGGCCTGGATAATGCAGTTTAGCAAGAACCTGCCTCAAAGAAGGGCAAAGGGGATTTAGCTCAGTGTAACGGTCCTGGTGAAATCTCCAGTACCACACAAACCAAAAAAGTCAATGTTTTGTCACCTCCTTTTGAAGTGACATCCGTATCCTTGCCATTGGTTGGAAGTGAACCCTGACTTGAGTCTAGTTTACTCCAAAGGGCGCGATAACCAAGGAACTAAAGACCTTTGCTGGTGCATCTGGAACCTCCTCCTCCAGTATCTTTTGACTAGTTTAATGAATAATTCACAAACATAGTTTTAGTTTCTATTAATTTACTACATCAATTACAATCTAAGAAGAAAAAGTCCATTTTCCACAAAGACTATGAAGACTGGACATCTTGGAATGAGAAGTCAGCCGCTGGCTTGAAGTCAGTCGCTCGCTTGCTCTTGCACTGTTTCTGTAGAGCTCCTGGGCTGACCACTATGTCTGCACACTGGACCCAGAGAACAGTTAAGTTTCCTGAAGTCACATCTGAACGGGCTCCTGTCTACGTGTTCAGCCCTACCCTCCCGCCATCGCTAAATAGAGTGCACCACTGAAGAATTCTGTCTAAAGATTCGGTATATGTAAAGCAGAGAATCATTATTTTCCTCCCCAACCCCCAAACCAGACCTAGACTGTATATTGTGAGTGAAAAATTAACTTGCTGTCTCTTTCATTTCTTTAGAAATTGAGAATCAGAAGTTCAAGGGGTCCCGGCAGCTCTCAGAAGTTTGCAATCCAGAACTCCAAATGCACTACAGCAAATGATTCTAATCGCTTCAGGGAGCTCTTCGAGATGGAGTGCTTCCATCTTCAAGAAGGAAGAAACAGAGTCAATGATTCCCTCTTACAACAATAGACCCTCCCCCTGCACCCAGCTGAAAGGGGGGAAATGTGAGAAATGTTAAGTAAGAATTGACAAGTACTGCCCTGGACTGCCACAGTCAGGTGATAAAGCTTCTGAGTTTTCAAAACATCTCTCCCGTTATCTCATTCACCCAGCCCAGGTGGCAAACTCCAGAATTTTCCCTGGAGACTGTGTTTGGGAATGATGAAAGCAAGATGAACTGGATAAGAAAAATCACACAATGACATGAACTTGAACATCTCAACTAATGGGTTCGAAACTGGGCCAAGTTCATTCTCTGTGCAGCCTTAAAAATCCATCTTTCTGATTCTGTTCCCATACCCAGAAAGGACATTCTTTGGCTCAGATTTTTTCTTCATTTACGCATTCATCAATTTGATGCTTATTTCCTGAGAGCCTGCTATGCACCAAAAATGTTCCTGATTCCAGAGATGTGGTAGTGAATAAAACGGTATCCCAGTAAGTAAATCTAAGTACCTGGATATACAAAAGAAGCAGAGGTGACATGAGCATGATGTGAGAGCCTGGCGTCAGGACAAACTCCCAGGATCTGAGTCATGCTCAGACTTTGTCAGGGGGCACAGTGAGGCAGGAGAGGATGCCTGACTGGTCTGAGGCAGAAGAACTTGATGGTAGGCTGGGTGTGCCCACCTGCAGTTCTGAATTAGGGTGCATCTGCCTCTGACCTGCGCAGCTGAAGATTTGTCAAAGTCCATTTGCTAGTTCTGTTTTTTCCAGGTCTGAAACCAATAAAAGCCTGGCTTGGAAGCCACTTGACTCCACGCTAAGCTTTTCTTTCTTCTGAGAGTTCTGACAGCTCCCATGGGCAGACCGGTCCGGGGAGAACAGTGAGTGGCCGAGAGGGGAGGAGGAGGAATTAGCTGCGAGCAGTTGAGGAGGCAGCAGAGCCCTGAGGCCCCTGCCAGCCACCTCCCGCTAAGGCTCAGAGCAGCTCCAGGCTCTCCACAAGCATGCCTGCTCCCTCTGCCATCAGAGGCCTGACTCCTTCCCTGAGGCCAGGACTCCCTGGCCTGGCTCCTGGGTGCCACCACAGATTTTCTGCTCACCACCCCTCCTGTCACAGTCTAGAAAAACTGAGCCAGTAGTTACCATTTCAGAGACACGCTATGTTCCCCGGCGCCTCTAAGTCTAGTAATTGTGCCGCCTGCTGTGGGTGCTCCTCATCCCACCAAGGAAACCCGAGCAAGCCTGTGGGTCAGTGAGCCCTGCTTTCACATCCCACTTCTGGTGGCCAATACGCACTCCCATGCTGCAGGCTGGGCTGGGCCCAGTGGGGTGCTGCCTTGGGCGGGAGGTGGCTGGACTGCACCACGTTCAGGTGAACCTCTTCTCCCTGTTCCTGCAGTCCTGAGTGGCCCACTGACTTGTCAGGAACCACTTATTTGTAAGGGAGGCATGTGTTTGTTTTATTTCATTATTTATTATCCTTTTTTTGGGTTATATTTTCCTGGAATTTTCTCTTCTCTTTCTTTCTTTCTTTCTTTCTTTCTTTCTTCCTTCCTTCCTTCCTTCCTTCCTTCCTTCCTTCCTTCCTTCTTCCTTTCCTTCTCTCAATAAAAATACTGAAGGAAATATAGGCTATCACTTAAGGGGGGTTAAAACCAGTTTTTCCTTTTTGAGAAATGAAAGTGACTAGGCATCCTCCACCCACTGGGGTGATAAATAAGTTCAGATTCTCTCCACAGTCATCAGCTTGGGAATGACAGCAAACAAGCTCAGTTCAAGGCAAGATGCTGAGAGGTGTCACAAGGCTTGTCACTGACCTTTGGGAAAAATGATCCGAATGAGAAACTCATCCTAGGGGAAGCATCTGGCTCTTCATCCCAGAGTCCTTGAAGTCAGAGGCAAAATGACTTCATCTCTGCAAGCTGCATTCCTGTTGCTCAAAACTAGGGGCACAGGCAGAAAATCAGAAGGATTAGCATGCAAGGTCAGCCATCTCTGCAGAAGCTTGTCTCTGCCTTTGAAAGTGCAACAATAAAGCTCAGGATTAGATACACCTGAGACCCACTAGCTTCAGCCCAGCCAGTGGAGGGTAGCAATTTGCCCATCCTAGTAATTGGAATAACTGTAATACTAATACAAAACCTCATACAGCTTGTTACAGCAACCCTGTGGTGTGTGAGAGACCCCACAGAGCATTTTGCTTGTTTTCTTAACTGTCAGGAGGTCTCTGCAGACTTGGTATTATGATGACCACCAACTCGATGAGTCACACAGCTAAGGTGACCATCGGTAGACCCAAGCCCTCTGCTTTAAAGAGCTGAATCCATTCTTTCACTGGGAAACAACAGAGGAGAATGGTTACACCAAGGGAAGTTCGATCAGATGCCTGGCTGCCTCCGAACACCTCATCCACTAGTCATTCGCTGTGTGACTTCACACAAGCTACTAAATTATCTTTTGCAATGTTCTCATCTATAAAATGGGGATTGACTTATTCATGAACCCTACAGCTTTCCACCAAGGGCCCACTCTATTCCAGGGTCTGAGTACATATTGGTCATCAGTTGGTTGAGGGTTCTTTTGTGAAGTGCAGCTCTGCTAGCAGCTATGAGCTTTCAGCTCCGGTGCCCCTCAGTCCTCACTGTGGTAGCTACAGGCTGTGATGCTGCTACTAGATGTCAATTAGTGCAGGATGCCACCTGTGGACTTGTCGCAGACCTCTTCAGGACTATCAGCCCCTAGTGTTTAATACCTCTGTCCACACCACTCAGGATAAGAGTCCTGAATAGATTTAGAGGACTGTCTGAGCCCACTAGATCCAGGAAATAAATCAGAAGCAGATTACAGGACCACTGGAACAGGCTTTATTGGACGGAGACCTATGCTTAGTACATGGGAGTCGGAACTCAAGAGGGCGCCCTCCTGGACCACCAGGCAAGCCTGAGAAGGATGCCGCTCAGAGAGCAGCTCAGTCGCTGTGGTTCATCCAGTCCAGGCCTGCCGACTGGCCTGAATTCAGACCTGGGAGCGGTCCAAATTGAAATCTGCTTATTGATCCAAATTGGATCCCGACTCTAGGTCCAAATTGGTCTAAACTCAAGCCTTTCATCCTGAGCCTATTGATTGCTCCAATTCAATTCTATGGTTCAAAGTCACTGTGGTCAGAGTAGACCCCTCCCAAAGTAGGTGCAGTGACTCAGGATAGCTGCAACTGTCATGGTAGTGGTTGCAGGGAACATTGCAGTCCTGTGCCGTTTGATTGACAGTTTTCGCATCTCCATGAAAATGCTGAGGTCAGAGTGAGTATCTTCAGAGTTCTAGCAGTGTTATGGATAGCTTAGTGGGGTTTGGGAGGTTGCAGTTGTTTGTAATAGGCCCAGGTCCCTCTCTGTCCTCTGCCACATCAGAGGTGGTTTCCCTACAGCTTCTTTGAAGAGGCAGCAGCTCTGGAGCAGTGGGATAAGGTACATGGTCTCTGAGCTGTCCTTTCTATCAGGACATCCTAGTGAGCAACCAGGGGTGATGGGAGGACACGGAGGACAGAGCATGTGTGACAGCTGTCCTCCAAGCCATTCCACACTTTGGCCATGTTGGAAATAAAAGGGGAAATTCAAAGGCTTCTTGTGTGTCCCTTTGTTTTTTTGAGACAGGGTCTCACTGTGTAGCCCAGGCTGGCCTCAACTTGCAATGACCCTCCTGCCTCAGCCTCTCAAGTGCTGGTATTACCTCCATGTGCTGTCATGCCCAGATCTTGTATCTTAATAGGAAAAAAAGAAAAGAGATCAAAATTCGTGCACTGCAGGACTTGACCTTCGGTGCATTGGAGGAATGACAGGAATCAAACCATTGTTTTGCAAATGACATTACATAATACATGGTTGTTATTACTTGAGGAAAAATAGACCAAGTGAATAGATTGAATTTATAGGAAGAGGACAGAGGAGTGTTACAGTTTTATAGACAGTATTTGGAGAAGGCCTTGACCTTGGACAGTGACATCTGAGCAGACACAGAAGTAGCATTTGAAGTAAGTCAGGTAGGTATTTGTACGAAAGCTTTCAAGGCAGGAGGAACAGCCCTGGCACATTTGAGGAGGTCAGGGAAGGTCAGGGTGGCCCGAGCTCAGAGGGAAAAGAGACAGGGCTTGGAAAATGAATCTGAGACAGGGGCAAGACAGCTCATGACCTACTCCATTCTGCAATAATGGGATATTAAGAAAGCAAACCACTAGTGGGTTTGAAAGGCTCCCTGACACGACATAACCTATTTTCAAAGGATCATTCCAGCTCTCAGGTGGAAAACGGATCAGAGGAGGGAAAATAAGCTCAGAAGTAGGACTGAGGGAGCGGTGTGCTGTGGTCACACTCTAGACACATTATGGTAATCACTTAGTGCTTCATGAGGGGCACCAAGTGTGAAACACTCCCAGCCTCACCCTGAGTAAGGGCCAGTTATAATTCCCCTGGGCATGGGCACATCATTATTACTGGCAGCCCACTGTGGAACTTGCTGCTCCAAAACCAGTGACTTGTCTTCCTCCCTCTTTCCCTTTCTCTCTTCCTTCTCCCCTCCTTCTCATCATGCACTCATGGATCTATTAAAAAACAGAATATGATGATCTTCGGCCACATTGGATCTGCCTTCCAGTAGACTGAGATTGGAGCCCTGGCTCTGCTTTTGAACAACTGTGTCAACTAGAATCAGATTAAATTCTCAACTTTGTCTCTAGTGTAAAAAATACATAATAATAGTAATAAACTGAGAGTAATAAGATCCAAAATGTAAAATAAAAATTCTAATAATGAAAAGGAAAGAGAGTGCTCAAAAGGACAGAACTACTGGGAGAGGGGAAAGGGAAAAAGGAAGAAAGGAAAGGACTATATGTATGTAGGAAAACATATAAATATCTGTGTGTACAGGCATGCTAGATAAACAACTAACTATACTACTAACCTCTTTAGTTCATCAAAAAGAACACTGTGCTGTCATTGTTTGACTGATCACTTTTGTGTATAGATCTTGTAATCTGAACAACTAGTTCTGAGATAACAATATGCAATATAGTAGCTAGTGCTAAGGCCCTATAGTAGCTAGTGCTAATTCCCTACTTGTTTTTTGAAATTCTGTATCATTTCTATCCTTTTTTTTTCTGTTTTTCTTTTTAAAATAATAAAAAAAAATTCTCAACTTCTCAGAGCCTTAGCACTTCCATCCCTACACTAGGTAGAAAAGGAATATCTACCTGTAGGGGATTTCCTTTAAACCTGAAAGAATTTGTAGAAAACTCTTAGTCTAGTACCTTACTAAATCTGGTTTATACTGTTAATTACATTAGCAAATCCGTATTGCCACCATTAGGCATTATATTACATGTAGAGGTTGCAAAATATATTTGCAGAGCCATAGCTCTCCCAGGAGACCGCAATCTAGATGGCTCTGGATGCAGCACAGAGCGCTATTAGGTACGGAATACAGGAAAGCACAGCACGGGAAAACAAGGCGTGCTCTCGGGGCATCACTCAGTGGGAGCTAATCCAGACAAATGAAAGTTAGCCAGGGGGTCAGAGAAGTTTCTTAGCAGCCTGTGCACCAAAGAGGAAACACACAGAGATCCTGAGGCAGGGTAGATTAGGATCCAGAAACTGCAAGCTCATCTAAGGAAAAGGAGTAGGTAACCACTTCAACAATCAGGAGAAATTTCATGGAGCATTTCAAACTCACGAAGCTGACTTACTCCGATGACAGTTACTCTTTTTTGGCCTAAGAAAGAAAACTCATGACTATAGCACCTGTCCTAGCTCATGTCCTGGTAAAG